CTCTAGAAATGAGTTGCTTTTTTATCTTGTTTGGAATTCACTGGGATTCCTAAATCTGAGGTCTGGTGCCTTTCACCAAATCTGACAATTTATCTGCCATCTCTCTCTTCGGGTATTGCCTCTTCCTATAATTTCCTCCTGGAGCTGCAGATAACATACATGAAATCTTATTCTCTTGTCCCAGCCTCGACATCATTGCTATTTTCCATTCTTCCTTCTCTCCCTTCTTCTGTGGAATTCATTCTGGATAATTTGTTGAGAACTATCTTCCATTTCACTTGTAGCCCTTCAACTTCTCCAACCTGTTTCATCTAAGTTTTTAATTCAACTTTGTCTTTCTCCTAATTGAAAGTGGCTTTTTTCAAATCTGACTGCAATCCTCTCTTACTTTCAAACTTTAGCTTATAATCAAAACGTTATCTCATTACAATCTGTGTGAAAATGCCAACATCTGAAGTATTTAAGGATTGGCCTCTGTGTCTTTCTGTCCATCTTTTTCACTTATGGGGCCTTATCTCTGTGCATCATCATTCTGGAGCAGGACTGTTCATCTGCCTTAGGAGTCTCTCTGTGGGAACTGAACCATTACCAGGACTGCATTTGCTTCTGGAAATCCCCTGGAGGCATGACCAACTAAGTACCACTTTAAATTCCCCACTTACAATTTTTTGGACCACATGGACAGTGCACAAAAATTTGTACTGAAAACCCACAGAGGGCCATCTTGTGGCTATGAATTCTCAGGGAAGATACTGTACTTCTTCCTTCTGTCTAGCACCATGTGAGACAAGCGTTCCTTGCTACTCCCCTCTATAGAATTCATTTCTTATTCACCTTGACGCTGAAGGTATTCCAGCTTTACCTGGAGTCACCTGCAAAACTCATTTCCTGTTTCCCATACCCTGTATAGTCACTAAAATAGATGCTTAAAGTCTGCTGAGTTTGGCAAAAACTCTGGGTAAAAGCTAGCTTTTAGCAATTGCTTACTTTTTAGGATTCCAGTTATCACTTCATTTTGAAGATCTTTAGATTACTTATTTTTATGCTTGTTCGTCAATGTGTTCATAAGTATTATTTATAAATATATTTACCCAGCATCTTGCTTGTTTCTGCTGAAATGACATTTCAGATGATCTAATCTACCCAAAATGCCAACAGAAGGCTGAACTAGTCCCAGCTATAGGCACAATACTCTGCCCACCCTTGATTCTGAGAAGGGTAGGTTGTAAGAAGACCAAGAGCCCAAAGTTCACAAAGACCAATGCTAACCTTGCCTTGCCTTAAAGGTGGAGGGGAAAAGGTGTCAAGACAAGAGCCAAGTAAGTGCCTCACACAACTTCACCACAAATAATCCGGATTTTCTTTTCCTCAGGGACAACCACCTTTAGGGCATTCAGACTGTGCACATTAACACTAGAGTATCTGCAGAAAAACAGCAAGATAGTATTCTCTTCTGCATCCTCACTGGAAGAACCTGTCCTTTTCAACAAAGAGATGTATATGGAGAGAAACGTAGCACTTTTTCCTTAGCTAAAATAATCAAACCCCACACTTAATTTATGTTTATAGCTCTTACGATGTATACTGACAAGTGTAAAGCTCTTGACTCGTCCACTTGTGGATAGCTAGTCCTGGTCACTTCAGACCACATGAAGAGGGGAAAAGACTAAGTCAGGATATAATGCAGACAGACAACATGGTTATTTTCACGCTTTCCCTACCTCACTTCCTCCAGCTTTCTTTCCAACCACATCTGCCTCTAACTTCCACGTGGGTCAGCTTAAGACCTAATGCTTTAAGTGACTGTCAGACAACAGGAAAGTAAAAGAAATTCACTCCTACAATGTTTTTTTGTGCGTGTTTTTGAGGTACCCTGCCTTTCAGGAGTGATTTAAGTTTCCAAACACACCTCCCTGGCTTTGGTCAATGGGGCCACATGCTCTCCAGTCCAGATACCCTTTGTAGCCAGAAGTGACACACTCATCAAAGTCTGCAACTCCAGAAGATTCCCTCTGTACCACCAGGCCCCATACTAGCTTCACCTCTCAGCAGCCTAGATATTATCTGTAGGACAGTTTGTAAGGTAAGAAGTCTTTCCTACCTACACACCAGCCTATCACCATTATCTCAAATTCGACTATAAGCAATTCATTACTTTGAAATCAAGTTTTCTTTATGAATTCTCCCATACTGTGATTATCATCATGCACACCATGTTACTAGCAATGGTGCCAGTGCAGTTAGAGCCAGTTATCCCGGATTCCAGTTTGAGGCTAAAACCTTCAACTAAGTTATTAACTAGACCATGGTCTTAAGTTGCAATTAACTGACCACAGGCATCAGAATAACCTAGGTGACTTATCAAGATTTCAGATTCCTGAGTCACTTTTTTTTTTTTTCCCAATCAGTTTTTGGAAATAGAACAAAGGCATCTGCATTTTTTTAAGGTTCCCAGGTAATTCTTGTGTACTTGTTCAGATCCAGAAGGTGAGGTCTAGTTGGTCTATTAAATCTATCCCTGAAAATACCAAGATGAATCTCTACTATCTTATACTTCAGATAGAAAGACAAAATTGAGAAATAATGATCTAGAAAGGCTGGCTGGTCCTTAGTTCTTCCTGGGGGAGATATTTCCACTTTCTAACAAAGTACTTTAAGTTCAGCAAGAAAGAACAAGTGGCCAAATGAGGTCATAGCTTTGAGCGGTCAGAAAGTATGTCTCAGCAGGACCCATTACAGCTAGCTATTTCACAAACATGTGCGGGGGGTGGGGGGGGGAGCCTCACTGAGATATAAGACTGGTGGAGCATCATCTATAACCACTTCCAGAAACCACTCAGGCTCTCAAGGTTCAAGAACATCATCAGCATATCTTAACAAAATCCATGGGATTCCTAAAGTTGGTGTTAGTAGGAGATAGCAACGGGCTTCCAAAGCATTCCTCAATCGGTGTCAAGATACTTAAGAGATATAGGGGATTTACAGATCATTCTGTTTAACACCTTATTTTAGGTAGGAGCAGAGAAATGTTTTGAAAAGGCCACAAATCAGGGTGCCTGGCTGACTCAGAAGGTAGAGCAAGTGGCTTTCACATCATCTTGGGGTCCTGAGTTTAAGCCCCATATTGGGTGCAGAGCTTAAAAAAAAAAAAATAGAAGACCACAGATCTTAATCACACAGGGTTCGCATGGATTGTAAAGAGGACGTGTCCATCTGTTTCATTCTCTCACCCTAACATCCACAACACCTAGCACATAGAAGATGCTCAGTAAATATTTAATAAGATGAAACAAATGGACCAACCCAGGGAGGAGGGAGACAGTAAGTTCTGTTTATAGTTCAGTATCAGTGGATAGTAACTATAACAGAAATAAAGGCTATTCACCAGTAGCCTGTTTTTTCCACAGAGATAGAAAACCATCTCAAGTGAAGCTACCAAACCCCTTTGGAAAGCAAACTCCGATAGCTTTTTGGCTCTGTGACTCACCCTTCTAGTCTAAAACTACAACTGTTAGACAGAAGCTTTAAAAGGGACCAGCTACAATGCTTAGATTTCCTGGTCTCACTAGCCCAAGAAAGTTTTTATACCCAAGACCTACTTCAACAAAAATTGAGACATCACCATCATCAGAAGCTATAGATTTTTAATCTAAAGATTGGGCATACAGCAAGCATTTTACATAAATTCTTGAGTTTTTTCATTATATAATAGGAAATAGGGGCCCCAGAAAAATAAGTCTCTTTCCATAGGTCTTAATCCATGGCCTCTGCGGTAAAGACAATCCCTAGCAACCCAGCAAGTGTTTGCTACCCATCCACATATTATTTGGTAGGACACAAGAGCAGCTATAGGTCTGTCCCTTGTCTTCTTACTGAAGGATTACGGATAGCATGAAAAGCAATGTTGTGGCCCAGTATTCACTTATATACACGAGCCTTTTAATTACACATTTTCTTATTAGGAGGGCAGTTGGGAGTTGGTAGCGTCTAACCTTCTAGTCATAAATGTTAAATGTTCAAAAGGACCATGTACTGCAATGGGCTTTGTTCAACATTGATTTTATCGAATTTCCAAAAGAATTCCAGTGACTAAGAAAAGTCATTAATTCCTTATACTTCAGTTTCCCATCTAAGTTAGCAATAAGTTTCCTGTGCTCTACTTAACCACGTTTAATTTTTAAGAATCTTAAGAGGAAAAATGTCTCACATGTAATTAAAAAGAATGTTGCTTGGTAAGAGTTGGGACTGAGCTCACAGTAATTCCATCCTGGTATAACCCCCTTCTGGCTGCTCTGGAGAGAAGAAGGACCCAGATACATATAAGGAAGTAACCAAGATGAAAAGGAGGGAAGAGATACAGCTTGAAGTGAAGAAATGACACAGACCCCCCACATACACACTTTAAAAACTTTATTTATATAAAAAACTCATTTGTTTTTAAAAGCATTAACAAGAGAGAAAGAAAAACAGGAAAGGTATGGAGCAGAAGACATGCCCCTTAGTAGTGTTCGGTGGGAGGTGGGATTTTTGGTTCTCTGGAATTGAATGTTTAGTGTTTTTATAAACAAAAAAGAAAAAAAAATAGTTAAAGGTCCCCAAAGCCCATGGCTGTTCTATTACCCACACCCCACCGAGAAAAAGAGCACCAGGAAAAGAGCAGAAGAGGAGAAGAGAAACCAAGAGTGGAGCCAGGTCCAGATGGGGGCAATTTCCCCTGTGCAGTATGTTCTTAGGATCAAAGAGGGGAAAAGGCTCCTTTTTGCCAGAAAAGGAGTGGGAAGAAATGGGGGGGGGGGGGGTAAATAAGGGATTTTAATGTATAGGGGAAGGGAAGGGGGGGAGTGGGTTGTGCACTTTTCTCTTACCCCATAGCCTCAATTTATAAGGGGAGGGGGAGAGAGAAGGATAAAGATTTCCAGTTGCACTAAACAGAGCTTTTAGATTAAGGGGAGGAGTAAAAGGCAAAAAAGGAGAAGGGTTAAAAACAAACAAACAAAAAGAACAAAAAAATAAAAAACAACCAGCACAGCAGCTGATTCCTCTAGCCCAACCCACTAATGAACACTAAACTGAAAGGAGGTGGTACTGGGGTTGGGGGCAGGGGAGGCAGGGAGGGAGGGCACAGAGGCGAGCGACCTCCCTCCAGCCACTTCAGAGATGACAGTAAATTTTGAGCAACTAAGGAGTAAGAGTCACACCACTCACTCCTCCCATATTTTGAGATTCATCAGAACAGGATTTTTGCAAAATCCCAACCATATACTATTGAGCAAAAGCTGAATGGCTGAAATCAGAGGCTCTACCAATTCCCAACAGAGAATCTGAGGTTCTCTAGGTCACCTCTCCTTTCTGCTATTTAGGGCCAATAGTGGGTAAGAAAGCAACAAAATATAATTTGCAAAATCATGAAAATGAGACCGCAGAGGCAAAGAAAGGCACATGGAAGGGAAGGAGGAGATGCACCCCAGGCCAAAGGCACAAAGATGAGGCAAATCCAGGGGCGATCTCCACCTTTTAAGGGTAAAGGGGGTGGGAATATGTACATCAAGTCCTTTTGTCAGCCAACCAATCCAGGGAAGAGGCAAGGAGGAAAGGGCTATAAGGTTAGGAAAAGGAGACATAAGGGCAGGGGGGAAGCCAGCTTCAAAGCTTCCTGCCAGTTTCAGACTAACTGATTCATGTACATTCCTACTAACTCCTCTTAGAGGTTCTTCTCCTCCCCAGAAGACATCTTTCTGCTCCTTCTCACCCAAAAAGTCTTCCTTGATACATTCTCCTCTTTCTACAGCCTCTTGCAAATGGCCAGGCCAAGTCAGCAGACATTATCACAGGATGGAAGAGGAAGATTAAGGACAGCCTCAGTAAGGGGCAACGGCAGCAGCCCAGGTTGTCATGAGGCTTGGAGAAGAGATGGAGTCTGTAGGTCCATGATGGTCCCTGCCCTGGAGATGAGGAGAGCAAGGTTTCTTAATCTCAGTTCTAGAAGACCTTCACTTACTCAAGGGCCCTTGCCAGGTGGAATGTGCCAATGTTGCCAGCCTTCTTTGAATCAAAAATAGTCACTGGGGTAAGGGAAGAGCTCACACTTCCCATTCTGCAAAAAAATAAAAGTCCCTTCCCCACCAGGGAAAAAAATCTTGATTAAGAATTATCAGTTTATCAGAGTGCTGGACACTGCATATACTGCATGTAACTTCCAATTCTTCCCATGGCTTCCAGTGAGGACTCCCACTTGCTCCCTCCCTCCATACAAGGCCAAGAGTCCCAGAGAGACCTGGTAAAAAAAAGAGCTAATCTGCAGCAGTTTCTCAAGATATGCATATAACTGAGTCAGGCTTCTTGGGAGCAACTGGAGGGGATCTGCAGGGGGCAGGAGGGACAATTAAGCTTCACTGGAACAAGTTAGGAGTTGGTGGAAAGAAGGCGGCCACTTAGGGCTAGAAGGGCAGGAGGCAGCCTGGCAGTTGGCACAATAGTCCAGCGAAGAAAGGGAAAAATCATCAGTCCATTTCGCCACCAAAAAATAAAAGTACATATATTATAAGCTCAGATGTAGCGGAGATAGTGGTGCTAAATCTTCTGCTGTAGGGAAAAAAAAGAGAAAGAGATGTTAATAGGATTGGGAATGAGGAGAACCAAACGATAGTTGAGCAAATCTGGAGGGAGGAAAGTAGCACATAATGGAGAATCCGATCACCAGAGGCATGTCCCAGCCTTGTAAGAGGCAACAATCACAAAAGCAGCACCCCCCAAGCTCCAAGTGGCTGAGACTAGGGTCTCTGGCCTGATCAGGTCAGCATGATTGGCAAACTGCCAGCACACAGGGGCCTCCTTCCTCAAGAGGATCTTGCGGGTGGCTGGAGGACATACCATGGAGGGGTTAGACACTTGGTCCCCCTCATCATCCAAAACCAACACATCCAACTCTTCCTCCAGAGATTCCTGCCCCTCGTCCTGCTGTGAACACATGCAATTTGTTAGTAAGGAAGGAAACAGAAACCTCGTGAGTGTGTGCCAGATCGAAGGAAAAATCCCCAAACTGGTCAACTCAAACAAAACAAGAGAATAGTAAGAAAAGGGCAAGATATTCAAGAAAAGGCAGGGACAGGACAAGAGTAATGTATGAGAATACATCGATCAGCATTAGTCACATTTATTGTCTACCTCCCCCTAACCTGACCGTTGCAGAATGACCCAAGAAATCCCAACATGAGTCAAAACTCCTACTTTACCTGAAAACCCCTACCAGGAAAGGATACTGTCTTTCACCAGGTACTTTTTTTTTCCTATATCTCAAAACATGGAGGTTTCAAAACAGAACTAGCCTTAGAAGGACAATAGTATATAAAAGAGACTTTACCATCAGGGGTGTTCCCTTCAACGGCTCCATTTCACCTAGATCCCCAGATCGATCCAGTGTTCTGTTGTGGTCCCCTCTCTCGTTCAGTGTGGAATAGTTGTTATCTAGCGAAAAAAGTACAACAGGATAGTCCCCTCTTGTGTACACTATATATTAAGCAGAGAAGTGTGAATTAGGCACCGCTGTTGGGAAGTAAACTTTGTCAAATGTTCCAGAAAGGCATTAAGGTCTCGTCCTTGACTTAAGGTCCCGGACTTAAACCGAACTTGTAGGACATAGGATAATAAGCTAAACAGAAGCAAGCTGTCTATAAATGGTACTGGAATTAAGAGGAGAGACAGTAAGGGGTGGTGCCAACAGTCAGGAAGAACCTAACAAAGGAGACAGGACTTAATTAAGGCTTTGGAGATGAAGAAAATTTAGCAAAACAAAGGGGAAGGGCATTCCAATAAGAGGTTATTACCTGAACAAAACCAAAAGAGTATAAAGACAAAATAGCAAATTAGACAGGGCGGGGGGGGGGGGGGGGGGGGGGGGGGGTGGGGGTGCTGAAACAGAGTACATGGAAGGAAAATGGTGAGGGAGCCTGGGGCCAGCTGGTGAAAGGCTTTAACAATTTAAGGACCCACAATTGATATTGTAGTAAGTAGGGGTGGGGATAGAGAATGATTTTTTTTTTAAACCTTTGCATATGTGGGAATGTAGAAGAAAGTAGATAGATGAAGTTTCACTAAATCTCTTCCTATCCTTACAAATAGAAATGTCCAGCCAATGAATGCTCTCCTAGGATGGTAAATGGTGAAGGTGCTAGAAAAAAACCACAAGGCCAGACAGTTCTCATCCCAGTGAAATATTACTCCATCTCCTCAGGCAGGAATTAATCACCTACCTAATGACTTTGTGTTTGATCCCATACTGCTCATCTGAATTTCTTCCCGATCAGGTTTCTTATCTATATGGAGTCAGAAAGTTATCCAGGTCAAAAACCAACTCTTCAAATTCTATACTCATCATAAAAATTGCTCTCTGGTTCATCCTCCCTCTCTTTCATCAAATTTTTACTGAGTACCCGCTATGTGCCAGAGAGTAGACAAAGCCCTCGTGGGCCTTAAAGAGATCCCTTTCCAAAAGACTCCTAGCGTAAGAAACCATTCACTCTAAGCCGCAATTATCAAATTATTTGGTCTCCAGACCCCTTTTAGTCTTAAAAATTAGTAAGAACCAAAAAGCATTCATTGGTATAAGCCATATGCATTACTATTTTACTGACCTGAGAGATTAATACATATTTCACTTAAAAGTAACAAGAAAGTTATTCCATGTCAACATAAAACTTTTAATGTTTTAGAAAAGCAGGTTTTTGTTGTTTTTTCTTTTTTTTTTTTTTACATTTTTGCATATCTTTTTCAAGTTTGGCTTAATAGAAGACAGCTGGATTCTCATATCCACTTCTACATTCAATCTACTGTGACACAATTTTAGTTGAAGTATAGGAAGAAAATCCAGCCTCCCACAGATAAAACACTGGAAAAAGGAGAATTTTAACAATCTTTTCAGATAACTGTAGATATTCTTTGATAGTATACTAACACTCAACAAGTACAGTTCCTCTAAGGTTAGCAACATATGGAACCTGAATCCAAATGAATGATCTCCTCATACTTTATTAAATTAAAATGCACTGGTCTGTCCTGAACTTTGACTGGGTCAATTACCTATGTATGCTTCTGAAACATCATGCATTGGTCACTTGGAAAATACTGGTTCACAGAGTAAGGCAGATCTACACTTAACACATTTCATTATACAACATCAAAAAACCAAGTCACATTCATTACTATTATCACTGATTTCAATAAAAAATTTTTTAAGTATCGGGGTGTTACCAGGCTCATAATGGCAGGTGTAAGTTTGCCAAAATTATCATTTTTGGGGGCGCCTGGATGGCTCAGTGGTTTAAGCCTCTGCCTTCAGCTCAGGTGATCCCAGGGTCCTGGGATCGAACCCTGCATTGGGCTCTCTGCTCAGCAGTGAGCCTGCTTTCCCCTTTCTCATGGCCTGCCTCTCTGCCTACTTGTGATCTCTGTCAAATAAATAAATAAAAATCTTAAAAAAAAAAAAAAGTTATCACTTTTACTTGAAAATTCGGGCAACAATTACAGTCACTTATTTTTCCTCAAAGTGACAAGCTCACTGCATTCATTTTTGAGAAAAATATCTAGCAAATATCCAAGTCTGAATAGGTGTATTTGGTCTTTCCTTCTTCCCCCCCCCCCCCCAAGGAAAAATGAGAGTCCATAAAAAGTGGCTAGTACACTTGGAAACTCCAACTATATCAACCATCATGCTCTGTATGCACACAGAATCTTTCAAGAAGATGCATACTCAAGGTTAGAAAAAGTAAAATTAATTTTTACAGCTCCATCAAGTATATTCTTAAATGAAACCAGCTCTTTTTTTTTTTTTTTTAAGTTGTGAGTCCACAGCAATAAAGACTGCGATGACTGATGTGGCCTGGCGTCACTGCCAGTGTGCACCACCAGGGCTTTGACACAACTGGCACAAAAGTCAACAGACATGGGGATGGATCCTCACACCACATTTCAAGAGCCCTGACTGAGGCAAAAGCCAAGTGTCATCAAGAAAATAAGAGTTACAATATACAATTCCATGAAAAAGAAAACATTTCATAAAATAAAATATGTATTTCATCTTTTGGGAAAAAATGTATTTGCTCACATGGCAAAAAATAAAACCACAAAGAGCAGCAGTTATCTCTGGGTAATAGAAGTAAGTGGTTTTGTTGTTGTTATTTTTCTGGTTGTCTGTATTTTCTAGTTTTCAACAGCCCATAATGTTACCTGGTATTACATGGGAATTGAAAAAGCAAGAAATAATCATTAGGCAATATATACATATATCAAATCATTGTGTTGTACACCTTGCATTTGTACAATGACAGATGTCTGTTCTCTCTCAAAGAGAGAATTGGTGAGACTAGGGTTCACTGCCCTGTCACTGTAACACTGCAAGCAAGGACAGAGAATCCCACCTGGGCTCCTGCCTCGGACAATCCCCAGGTGAAGTATTATTACCCTCATTCAGTAATAAATATATATTCTATTCCTCAGGCAGTCTGCCCACTGAAGAACAGCAGTGGTGGATAAAAGCAGAGGGGTATGCCCCCTGGATACTGTACCTGTTTTCTGGGTCCGGTCAATGAGAGGGAGAGTGCTGTCATCATATGAATGACTGCTCTGGCTTCGAGAAGCGTTGTTTAGATTCACCTGGAGGCCAACATAAAATGCAACAACGTCAGAGAATACTGAATTCACCCACATCTTATTCCCCAGTGGACACACACCATTAGGACCCTATTCTCAAATACAACTCTTACCGAAAGAGGACTCACACAGGTTAAAGAAACACCTATATCGTGAAACAATCTAGGATGTTACAGCTTCTATTTACGTTCCTGATGGTGTTCAGGAGACGACAGAGGGACCAAACACTCATACTATCAGAAGGTGACACAGTCTCTGGCAAATTCCTTCAAAGGGCTATGGCAGATTTGGGGCAAAGTCAAAAAGGCCACCTTCCTCCGTCACGACCAGCACTGACAGCATGCTGTGATGTAGAGGAAAACTGCAGCTGTTTGGGCAGCAAATGAAATGTAGGCACCACTCTTTTGGGAAGGAGGGGTAAGCCCAATGATTTCCTCACTAAGAGAGACTTGGGATAAAGTAGGACTTTTTGCAACAGTGAAGCAGAAGAAACCAAAGACAGAGGGGTACATGAGACCCAGGACAAAAAAGTACATGCCTAAGGCCCCAGAGCTGCTCTACCTGGAAGTCTGATTTCTTCCATCCTTCTTTTTCCAGTGGCTTCCGTAGTTCCTTATAGCCCCAGATTGTCTGTAATACAAGTGCTGCTGCTCGGACTTCTTTTTCTGAACGGTTCCTTTTGAGAAAAGTTAACACCACATGAATTTGGATGTTAAGACAAGGGAAGAAGCTGAGAACCTGTATTCTCTAATACGATGGATGTCACACTAGAAATGCCAAAATGGGCAGGAGCAAGTATTCACCAAGCTCTGTATTCTGTCCCCACCACTGACACACACAAAAAAAACGTTTGATGGAAAAGCAGGTTATCGATTGATAGCTCAACATCAAGGCAAAGAACAGAGCAGTATCTCTTCATCCTTTACATATAAAAAAGGGAAAATAACCTTAGAAAGCAAAAGGGGAGCGCTCCTTCCTAGCAGCTCCCCCCTCTCACACTCAAACTCTTCCAGTTGTCATTTTACGCATTAAACTCACCCTGATTTGTTGATCAACACCAGCTTCTCAATGCCCTGCGTCTCTCGAAGCTTTTTGGCAGCTTCCAAGTTCTCAGCAATAACCTCATTGATGGTGTTCAAGAGAGAGACCACAGTGTCCTCAGAGAAATTCTGGGAAGAGCTCTGCTGCCCTCCTGGCAGATTCTTTACCAAGTTGGGAATAGCATGTTTACCTACAGCATGCGCAGGGAGAACAAGCCAAGTTCAGCTATAAGGAGCCCAAGACTACACTTAACTACACTGATCATTGAAAATGAGGTACTGTCCCCAGGAATCAACTTCATTCTGCTATAATATTATCATACCAGAGGAGCAAAGGAGCTGGAATAGCCATGAATCCATGGTCTTTCTTATTCATTTATTCTCTCCTCTAGTCACACTGAAACAACATGAATACTTTATATCAAATATGCTAGTTTTTTCAGGTAGTCTAATGAAGATAGTATAGATATTTAAACTGTAATCGTTTAATAAAATAGTCGTTATGAATTTAACAAAAAACTGGGCTCTGCCACAGCCCACCTATATTAACTCTGGACAAATTACATTAAGTTCTTTCCTGGGCCTTTTTCCTTATTCTATAAAAAACTTGACCTCTGGGGCGCCTGGGTGGCTCAGTGGGTTAAAGCCTCTGCCTTCAGCTCAGGTCATGATCCCAGGATCCTGGGATCAAGCCCCGCATGGGACTCTCTGCTCAGTGGGGAGCCTGCTTCCCCCTCCCTCTCTCCGCCTGCCTCTCTGCCTACTTGTGATCTCTGTCAAGTAAATAAATAAAATATTAAAAAAAAAAAAAAAAACCTGGACCTCTGTAAAGAGGTCATGATCAGTGAGCATGTGTGGAATTATTAGCAATGCCTGCTAACAAAGGACATGCTGATTAAATAAAGCTGCTTCTGTTCTGTTTTTGAAGAGTCCTCATTTCTTATCTCCCTAAGAACGATTAAACTAGAATGCTTGGAGTTGCAAACTACAGAGAGCTACTGGGATCCCTCCTCTGTCATTTCAGTAATAAACGAAACAGCATCAGATGAAAGGCTCTGTACTAGATGCTGAACAAATGGTTCACATCCAACTCTTTACCAATGAGCTCTTTGTTGCGGGCATCCACAGCCAGATTTCTCAGTGCTCCAGACGCAGCTTTCACTACACGCTCATGTTCATTGGTCAGGAGGTCGGCGATGGCAGAAAGAGCCTTCTCTTGACGCAGAGCAGAGCGAATGTATCGACCGTACTAGAAATTAACACATGGAAAGACGTGGAACAGATTACAAATGGCGGCAAACTAGTTAGCGAGTTCTTCCACCTCTAAATCCATTTTCTAAAAGGTACTCACCGTCCAGCGTCCAGCACACAAGTTCTGGATCGCTCCAGCTGAGGCTTCTAGGATGGCAGGAGTCTTGCTCTCCTTGAGGAGTGAGATATATATCCGAACCACCTCTGGTTGAAATAAAAGCTCATAGCCTGCACAAGAAAGGACAGAAAAACAGAGAAAGCTAGTCAGGCTTTGGCTGCCAGGCTCTGGCTGGTTGAAGTCCAGCTTCAATACTCTGGACTGACAGATTTATGCTCCTGTACCATCAGGCTCCCTATACTCTCCCACCTACCCAACAGCCAACTCAGAGTCTTGAGTCCATGCCTTCTTAATTCATCCATGGTAGGAGAAGAACAGACATCAACTCATCATATGCGACTCCTCTCTCTCCTCTCTCACAGTTTACTTTGGCCTTGACATTCAGGGGATTCATTTGCCCATTGACAGCACTCAGGATTACAGATTCCTCGTCTCAAATGAATTGTTTCTAACTTAACGGAGTCATTCTGACCCCTCCCTTTACTATGATTAAGTAAAAGGGCCTATCCTAGATTTAACAACATGTTAAGTTTTTATATCCATGAAGAGCTATGAATTTTAAACCCACTATTCTGATAAATATAAACACCCAAACTGTGAGAAAGAGGCTTCTTAAAACAGGTAATGACTAAGAACTATAGTGGATACCTAGGGCACCTACATTTCTGGCCTGGACTGCCATCAGGACCTTACCCACCCTCCAATAATCTGAAAAGTTGCCAAAACAAGTCCTTCATAAGTTACTGCTACAATACCAGTTTCCCAATGCTTCACCATCACTCCACATCCAGAGTTGGAGGAAAGAGAACAGTGATCATACTGCACAGTCTACAGTTAGGCTACCCAATACTCATCTGTGGACTATGTGTATGAAACTCCTGGAGACTAAAAATAAAAAGATTAACTTACCTCGAGCTGGACTAGTTCTTTTAGGGAAATCCACTGTATCATTTGCTGGATCCTCTGTGGGTTTTTTCCCTTTGGAAATTAAAAAAAGGACAGAGGGGTAAAGTTTGAGAAAGAAAAGAGTCCACTTAGTGCACTTTTTACTCTTCAGTCAAAATCTTTTTGGATCAGAGATGCACTGACGCGGGGCAGGGGTGGGGAGAGACACCAAAAAGAAGAAAACAGAAAACCAAGCTCCCCTCCCCCATCCCAGCAAGGGGCTGCGCAGAAACAAGGACAGAAAACAGGCAGCAGACAAGTAAGATGAGGATAAGCACCGTTGTCGCTGTGGTCCTGAGGTCTGGTAACTGGGACTGCTGCCCAGGAATAGCATGCCATGAGCCATTGGCTCCAAAGAGCTGAACTTGTTTCAGTGGTCTTCCTCAAATGAATTTTCCTACATGCATCCATAGGGAAGGGTTAGGAAATACTAGAGAAGCTAAAACCAAAGCATGCAAATTAGAAGTAGGGAAGCGCCTTAAAAGATTCCACTCACCTCTGGAGAACCACTCATCTTCCAGTGCGTCACCCAAGGTGGAAAGCAGAAAGAAAGGAAGGAAGAAAAATGCAGGAGAGTGATGTCAACAGGATCATGGGCAAATAAGTAGGAAAGCAGGGAGAAAAAGAAAAACACAGAAAACACAGAGGAGGAATGGGGGAGAAGGCCCCAGATTAGTTGAGTTCTCGTCCTTTGCTGCCCCCAAACTGATACCAGTACCACCACCACCATCATCACCACCTTGAATGAAGCACATGACACAGGGAAGCAGCTGCAGAGCAAGGAGACATCCTTGACTAGGCAGACTCACATACCACTCAGCAAGTATTTTGTACCTAAGGCTAAAAGTGTTCCTTCCCCTTCCTGTCCTACATTAAAGAGCAAGGAACAACGAACCAAGACTCACCTTTGCCCTTCTTGGCCCCAAAGCAACTGGCAGCATGTGGCCCAGTATTGTTGGCAACAGTGGGAGGTGCCTCTTGGTAACGCTCTGCCTGTGGGATCTCCCGGTGAACTTGATACGACAAATTCCGAAGAAGGCAAACGCAGTTCTCCACAAGCTTGGGAACACAAGATAGAGGGCTTAGTGAACAAGGAGAACGTCTATCGTGATTTCCCAGCAAGAACAGGTTTCCCTGATTCAAGTATTAAAATACTGATCCCCAAAAAGCATAGCCCCATCCATTATCATTCACAAAGTCTCTTATGTGCGCCAAGCTTCTCAAAATCCTTGCAGCCTCAGACTAATGAAGGTTTCTGCCACCATTTGGTGTGACACAAAACTGAGGATCACCCTGACTTTTTCCTACTTAGGAAAATATATAACCTTGGAAACATTATGAAACAGCTACAAAGCTTTAAGATAGATAATATAGGTAGAAGAAATTCTAAAGAAAACTGTTTTCTTCTAAGGTGAACATCTACTTTAGGGAGCAAGGGTTGGTACAGATACCTAATGTCCCTTAAAAGCCTGAGATGGTGAGGTCTGCACGACAAGTACCTTCATGGCTGCTGTGCCTGGAATTCACTCAGCCATTAACTTACCTTGCTATCTGAGTCCTTCTGCCCAATCTCAGCCTGAACAATGAAAATGAGGGCATCCACTAAACCATCACATTCACGAAGTTTCCGGCGAGCTTCACTCCTCTCTGAGCTGACGTTCCTGAGGGGGAAGGGAGAGGCTTCAAGAAGACTCCAATCTACAAACCCTCCCTTAGTTATCTTCAACATCTACAAGCCTCCTCCGTACTTTTTCTTTTTACTGTAACAGTTAGTGAGTACTTGTTACAAACAAGGTACTGCAGTTGAGAGAAAGCTGAGTAAGACAACTCTTCTTCCAGGACATTTTTAACAAGGTCAGGGGGTGGGGGGTGAGGGGATGACACACACTTAGGGAGGGTCTAAATAAGGTAAACCAACAATACTTTAAGATCAGACGGATACTTCTTGCACAGGAAGTACAAATGAAGAAAGGGGCAGAGCACGCACGGGTATACTCCAAAGAGAGAAAGACTATATTGCAGCATTTATAGGATTTAGGAAGAAATCAGAAAACCTTGCATGAGATATAGGGACTTTTGAATTTAGCCTCAAAAGATAAATAAGGAGGGGCGCCTGCCTGGCTCATGTGGTAGAGCATGCAACTCCAGACCTCAAGGTCTTAAGTTTGAGTGTAGAGATTACTTAAAATCCTTTTTAAAAAAAAAAGGTAAAGAGACAAGGGCACTGTAGTCTTAAGGAAGAATACCTCTCCCCCAACACCACCACCCTTCTAGTACTGTGTTCCTCCTACTGCATTTGTCACAGCTTTACTTGAAATACAGGTCACTGAGGACACACTCAGGCTCAAGACTTAGACAACTGCCTTACATGTGGTAGATACTGAACAAATGCTCACTGAATTAAATGAACAAAGTCAAAGAGACACAGAAGTGAGGATGTGCAGGGGAACAAGTAAACCAACATAGCAAACATATGTGCACACAAGCAAGTAGTGACAAAGGTAAGACAGGCTAGAGTCACAGTATACAATACGGACAGGAATGGAAGCTGAATGACAGGCCAAAGAATTAAAAAAGAATTTCTTTTGTAAACTTAAGTCAGTCAAAAATTCAATCTTCATATTCTTGAAGCCCTTATGTTACCTAAGACAGCCAGCTGTGTTGGTGAGTACCGACTCCCACTCAATATGGCGCGGTTTACAATCTTCATTAGGTTCCCGCTCCCAACCAGAATGTGGGATGATCACTTCATCTGTCAATGCATGCAGTGCATGGTCCACAATCTCCATCTTGATTGAGTCATGGGATGAGAGATTCCACAGGGTTCCTGGCAGAGACAACCCATCAGATACCTCTCCAACACCCAAGACAGTATGTCTGAAGAATGCCAAAGAGAATCCCTTATTCCATCATTTCTCAGTCTTCCCCAATGACCAAATACCTTGTAATGGTATTCAAGCTTTTGTTTGTGACCCATGATAAGAAATATACATTATGGCTCAACATATATATACATATCTGTACATCATGAAACAAAAGTTTCATAAAACAATACTTACTATTTATAAGCAATATTCTCTGGGTTATCCACACCAGAGTTTCTCAACCTCATTAACACTGACCCTTTGGGCCAGATATTTCTTTGCTGTGGCAAGCTGACCTATCCATTATTAGATTTTGAGCAGTATCTATGCCCGTTACTCCTTAAATGCTGGTAGCACTCCCTCCTGCCCAAGCCAAGACATTGCAAATGTCCCCTAGTGGGCAAGACCAGTCCTGAGAACTAATAATCTATTCTACTTCTTGTTCTTTCTTCCTCTTGAAATACTGACTGGGATCCACAACTGTGTTCAATACACACTAATGGATCACAACCCACAATATGAAAAACCACTCTTCAAAGCAAGGATCACAAGCTCAAGTATCTACACATGTCAGGCAGGTGAGTCAGGACAAGCAGATATTTAAAAGAAATTACAAAGAGTGGAAAAATAGCAAAAGACACTCAGCTTCAGTGCTGGGGAGACAACTTGTTATATGGCAGTAGTTGGCAAAAAGGTTCAGGATTACTACAACTGGGAGAACATGCCTACCAGTCAGCTCAGACTAACCACTGTCAGGTAGCAAAACAGATCCACTGTTGCCAGTTCCCACACATTTTTAATAGAAGCCAAACAAGCTGCAATTTTAAATGAAATCTTCTGAGTTTTAAATTTCAGCAAGCAATTCTCTGAAATTTTGAACACTTTGTGTGATCCAAATAAATCAGAGAGATGAATCTGCCCCCAAAGACCACCAGTTCACAACCTTAAGTCAAAAGTAAAAGGGCTGAAAGTCCTTCTAGCTCTCAACATCTCTACGGGTCACAGTAACCCCAACCCAGCAGCTGCCCTTGTGCCCATAACTCACCGGTGATAACTTCAGTGAGATCCATATCCCGAGCCTTTCGGAGCAATCGCACAAGGGCAGGAACACCATCACAGTTTTTTATGGCGATCTTGTTATCCTGGTCACGCCCAAAAGAGATATTCTTGAGAGCTCCACAGGCTCCAAGGTGCACTTCCTTTTTGGGGTGGTCTAACAATCCCACCAGTACTGGGATGCCCTTGAGCTTCCGAACATCGGTCTTCACCTTGTCATTGCGATAGCACAAGTGCTGCAGGTATGCAGCTGCATTAGACTTGACAGCATCCAAGCGGAATCCTAACATGGCGATCACCTCCGGCAGCTCTGGCTGTCTCCAGTTGTGAGGCGGGGGGGCCCCCCTTACGCAGGCTATCCAAGCTTGCTAAACTTCCCCGTTCATGCTGGGCCAGAGGAGCCCAATAGTACTGGTCCGATGGCACCTCCTCACCAATCATGTCTTCATAGCTCCTGCAGTGTTGGAAGAACCAAAAGGAAAAGAATACATCAAGTTGTCGAGTCTGGTTTCGTGGAGAGCTCCCATGACCCTCCCATGACCCATGACCCCTCACCTCCAAGGCAGGAGGCAGGAGTAACTTCAAATCTAGCACACCATATCTTACCTGTCCTTTGTAAATGATATACTGATCAATTTTTCGTAAGGAGATAAGGGATTAATTTTAAAAGCATCTGAAGTTAGATTAAAACTACATTTTGTCCTGTCAAGTTTACTAGCTCAGAGGAGAGTAACAAGCATTCAGAGACGTTAATCACAGAAACAGAACCAAATCCTGACTGCTTAGCACTAAAATGATACCTGACAGCTAAGCTCTCTGGATAGTGACTGAAATAAACCTTCAGAAGACAGAGTTAAACCAAAGAAGTCCGCAAACAATGTCTGAGAACAACTCTTACAAGCCTTCGGCTAAACAGGAAAATGAGGCATTTACATACAGGAAACAGCTGCTGGGATTAGACCCTTAAACACATTTCGTATTTAAGCCTCTCCTTATCTTATTTTGGAAATTATAAAAGAGGAGGTAATAAGAGTAAAAAGAGTACAGGCCTTCGTGCTACACCGAAGGGGGACCTGGCTTTAGTAGAAGCTTGAACATTAATTTTCACAGTTCATCCCAACGTCATCTCTGCTACTCAACAAACGTGCTCCAGATAATGATTGCCAGCTTCCAATTTCTACAGATGACAATACCTTGGATTCTGTCGAAACAGAGGCTACTGAACGCCACAGCATTTGGGATAACCAATGACTAAGAAAAAGAACAAAATAAGCAGGGGAAGGCTTAGAGAAAAGTCTCACTGGAGAGAATTCTTCCTATTTCAGTACTACCAGCAACCACTAGAGGGTGAATCTGTCACACTATTATTTATTCATAACCACCAGGAAGGAAGAGACCCATTATCTGGCTCCCGTAGGAGAGGAGAGAATCTATTGTGTGGAACTCTCCAAATAAGCCTGTTGTTTGTTCCACAAAACCCCTCCCACTGTCACCAAACCCTGAAAGTTAGCTGCAGCAGAGGCCCTGCCTCAGAGCTGTCAACATCAACCACTCAACAGCAACTCAGATGGACAAAGCATTAGTAAAAATCCCTATTTTCAAATATCATTGCAACAAAGTAAGCAGGTTATAGCTAAGCTTTAAAAGGAGGCTTCTGAACAGTAATGTTAAGGAAGATTCCATTTTAGTAGGGGAAAAATAAGGTCAGAGTATGTCGAGTATGTCCACCTGCATAGGAAAAAAAGAAATCAAAGCAAATGCACCAAAATGTTAACCACAGTTCTTTCTCTATGGCCGGAGTGCCTTTCTACATTTTTCTAGTTTTGTAGCGAGCACGTCTTACTTTCACTATTGTTTTAGTATAAGCAATTACAAAAACAATCGCCATAACCAAGATTTTGGTCACTCAGTTGTATTCACTTCTTTTATAAGCAGGGGATCGTGACATTCTTTCCTTTGTTTTACAAATAACAAAGCTGTGCCCAGAAAGATTAAATGACTTGCTTGAGGCTATACAGCTAGTGGCAAAGGCACAACTAGAACCAGAAGTCTTCTGGTTCAGTGCTTTATCCACTAATTATTCTGCCTTACTGTTTCCGTTTGACCTTGTATTACTCTCCAAGGCCTGGAACAGGAAGCAGCTAATGTTCCTGCTAGTCAAGCAGGTTTCCAAGTCCAGTGCCACCCTGGAATGGACCCAAGAACCAGGCCCAAAAATGCTCTCTTTTTATGTCAGTTGCCACAGTAGAGAATGACCTGGCCACCCACACCCACCTAGGTCCAATCACTCTACTAATGAGGAAGTCCGAAAAGCAGACTTGTTTCAAGCAGACGGGCCAACGCCCTGGGCAGACTCCTTTGGTGATAGCTGTTACCTACCACTGCTTCAAGTTGCACCAGGTGCAGTCTGGTGCTCCCCCCACTGCCCCTTACCCCAATAGAAGGTGAGTCACATGGGAGTTGGACAAGCTGTCCAAATGATACCATACCTAAAAGGTGAATGACTCAGGCTGAGATAATGGAGCCTCTAACCTGGGCCCAGCCCAGTTCACTACTAACCAAGCTACCTAATAGGAGGAAAACGAGCACCAAGGCATTTGCTTTAGAAGGTTATGACCCCATACAGAAATTCAACAATAGCTGCTAGGTTATCCTTACTACGAAGACATCCATAAATCTTCTCCTTTATTTCTTATTATTTTTCCTTGCCTGGAAAACACTATGTCTGTGATTTATCATAAAGCAGGGTTGGCAGCATGCGCCAAACCTGTTCTTGTACAGTCCCAGAGCTAAAAAGGGGTTTTTGTATTTTTAAAAGGGTGTAAAAGGAGAAAAACAACATTAAAATATATACATATTTTATATATATATATAGCCTGCAAAAACCTATTAAAATAGTTCTGCCTGGTCCTTTACAGAAAAGGTTTGCCAACCCCCATTCCAAAGCATTCTTTCAAGGCAAACCTTCTACCAGCCCAAATATCAATCACTCCCTTTTTCGTATCACCAAAGAATCCCCAGGGATGAGTAGCAAAGTCAGAATAGGCAGCTGCTAAGTAACCTTTCAGAATGTCACTTATATACCACCCTCAAAGGATGCCACCCCCATTTCACTTTATAATCAAAGGTAAAAACCAAAACATGAAGTGTCAGGGCTTTGGTGAGATCAAGGTTTGTTTTTAACTTGAAACTAAAATCACCACAGGGAGGGTTCTCACATACACCCTTAACTGTCCACTCTGGCCCTGAAAGCCAAAAACCCTCAATTCTCTCTTATTACCAAACCAAATGCTAAAGAAATTCATAGGAGCAAGGCAGTATCGCACAGCCCCAAAGCACCAAGCTCCCTTGTGCAGCTGCCTATCACCAAAAAGCCAGATCTTGGGCAGAAACAGCGGCAACTCTTGGCATGGAAGCAAAGGCCACTCTTCAGGATGTAGACCAATAACCACAAGTCATTATAAATAATTAGAATATAGGATTTTCATCATGAAAAAGACAAAAAAGCAAGTCAGTATCTGGTAAAGTCACAAAAGGGAAGACAGTGTCTCAGATTCAAAAAAGCACTTAGAAGGAGAAGGAATAGCTACCCCTTATCTCTGTCTTGGTTTAAGACCCTTGCCTTCCCCTTTTCTTCCCTACCTGAGTCGTCGGCGAGGGTCAGAGGGCGTCCCAGTCCGACGGGCAGTGCCATAATCGGACATCATGCCGTAATCCAGATCATCATAGCCCATGCTACGCTGGTCATCTTCTAGCCCATAAGGCTCTGGGTGAAAACGATGCAGATCCACACTGCTCCCACCTACCCGAACTTGGGGCTGGGGCCCATACACATCCTGTCTACTAGGTGCCCGATAACCTTCCATGCTGGGCCTGTACCGCTCCTCAATGCGGGTCACCCGGGACAGACTGCCATAGTTGTCACTGCTACTTGGATAACCATCTTCATAGTGGCGGCTATATCCATCGGGAGGGTAGTGGAAGTTCCTGGGAAGGGTAGCAGTGCCTGCTTGCCCAACGTAGGGACCAGGTCCCCCATTGCCATTCTTGCGGAAGTCACGCCCCAGAGTCTGGATATAGTTGTTAGAAACTGATGAGGCATCCACAGGCAGCCCATCTGGTCCCACAGGGACTGGCTGTACTGTCCGTGTTGTCACAGTCTTCACAACTTTCTTGACCTTCACATAAGGAAAGAGAAAAGTGTGAATAATATAAGCCTCAATTCTAGACCTCTTTTTTTTTTTTTTTTAAGATTTTATTTATTTATTTGACAGAGGGAGACACAGCAAGAGAGGGAATACAAGCAGGAGGAGTGGGAGAGGGAGAAGCAGGCTTCCTGCCAAGCAGGGAGCCTGATAATGGGGCTCGATCCCAGGATGCTGGGATCATGACCTGAGCTGAAGGCAGAGGCTTAACCCACTGAGCCACCCAGGCGCCCCCCTCCCTTTTTTAAAAAGATTTTATTTATTTATTTCACAGACAGAGATTACAATCAGGCAGAGAGGCAGGCAGAGAGAGAGGGGGAAGCAAGCTCCCTGCTGAGCAAAGAGCCCAATGCAGGGTTTGATCCCAGGACCCTGGGATCATGACCTGAGCCGAAGGCAGAGGCTTCAACCCACTGAGCCACCCAGGCACCCCAATTCTAGACCTAAGAAATGAAACAAACCCCTACCGCTACCTCATTTTATCTAGAAATGCCTTACATTTTACCATCTACCTTTCACTCTCTACCTTACAGGAAGTGCCCAGGCAGGAAATCTGTGCCGGCAGTAACTATGCCTATAAGGGAAGTTATTATAGACCTTGCAGACTTCTCTCTTCCCCATTCCATTCAATTTTCCCATATCTCTTCTATCTTCCCTGTCTAGCCAGAGATCACACGTTCTTTATGCATTCACTACAGATTGATACTTTCCATCTACCCTAAGTGCTTAATCTCTCCCCCACCACCAAGAAAGACCAAAGGAAGACCTCCTCTTATCATCCCAGACCTTATACAAGTCTTAGCTTACTGTGGTCTCTGTGCGCCGAGTAGTTCCATCATCAGAGGTCTCCACAGAGACAACAGACATGGCTCCCTCAGGGTCCTCCTCCGTGTAGGTCCCCACAATCTGCCCTGGCTCCTGCATTCTGGGAATGGTGCTATACACAAGGTGACTGTGATCCTGTATGGAAAGGTGGAAAAGGAAGGAATGACTATTAAGCCATATATATCAATAGTCCAACCCAATGAGAAGTAGTCTCCCTAGAGAGATTCCTCATGCATCTTCCATGGGCCCCAGGATTTTTAGTGGAGTACATGTCCCCACCTTTTGAACTTATACAAAAGAGCAGAAGATGTAAGTCCCCAGTTCTAGTCATTTTAACAAATATAAACTGAGTCAACTATAGCCACATCAACACCCAAGTGACAGAGACAGCAGATTTAACTTCCCAGTTCTGGTCATCAAAGTGTCTATGAACTGTGTTAACTGTGGCTACATCTGCATCTGGGTGATCCTTCAAGAAAGAAGTTCACCAGTAAAGAACTTTTAAGATGAACCAGAAAGTCCCCCCAAAAACCCTCTTCTAACTGACTCTGTTACTCTTTAGAAACTGCCTAAGACTCAAGACCAGTGAGATTTCAGGTAAGAACAGAAGCACGCCCATCCGAGAAAAGGGATGCAATAACTGAAGGATCAAATACAGGAACAGTGGCCGTTAAAACTCATTCCAAAATACAACTACACATATACACTTATGCTCCACTACTTTATTTTCCTAAATGAAAGAATCTAATTAATGGGTGGGTTCTTACAATGTATCAGGCACTTTGCAAGACACCAATATGCTCTTACAGGCTGGGGAAGTAAGAGAAAAATGAAGCAACCCAGACCTTGAGCCAAAGACATTACCTGGGGTCCGTTGAGTTTCAGATCTGAAAATTTCTGTCGCTCAAGGTCAGCATCGCCCACAAACCGGCCGTTCTGAAACATAGCCCACAAGAAGACAATTCATTTTGTGGCCCTCCTTTGCTCTATCAAATACAAATGATCTTTTTTCCAAACAGGAAAGGGTTTTCAAATAGGTATTTGTGGCCTGGAGTCCTTCTGTCAAGGACTTAAAGAAGAACCACATCACTCCTTAGTTTTAGCACTTTCCTCAAAAGTGGAATTGGGCCTGGAACTGGCAGACTGGGTCTCTGGAACATAAGAAGGTAAGCTCCATGAGGGCAGACATTTTTTCTATTTTTATTTTTGGTCAGTTTTGTTCAATGATATATTTCCAGTGCCTTGAACAATGCTTGGCACATAATAGGCACTCAAAAACTATTTGCTGAGTAAACAGCAGAGACTCAGGTAAGTCCTTAAAAATACAAGGAAAGTTAGAAAAGCTAGGTTGGGGAGTTTCCAAAAACCCTCTTTATTGCTCCATCCATCTTCATGCTCTACTACCACTGGAAACTCCCACATCAGCCAGCTTTTAAAGAGAGACACAAGAGATAAAGTCTCCCTTTCCAAGCAGGAAGAAAACGAGGACCCCAATTCCCCTCTGCAAAAACAGTTGTCTCAACATCATCATCATCACCAATTTTTAGAGCCACTGAACATAAGCTGCTCTGTTTTGAGCAGCAGGAAATAATCTAACAACATTACACTACGTAAAAATACAGTTGACTGCTCCTCTTCCAATAGGAAACAGTGAGATCCAGCCACCTTGGAAGACTTCCCCCACCCTACTCCTATTACACAGGGAGTGTAATGCTGCAGGGAGAGGAAGTTAAACATTACTTTCAGGAAGAAGGAAAGGTGTGGCTTCGTTGCCGAACAGAAGTTAAAAATAAGAGAGAGAGAGAAAGAAAGAAACCCAGTACTAAATTCTGGAATTCCCCACCACCTCCAAGCCTGAGCCGTCCTGCTCTCCCCTTTCAATATATACCGCTCATTGCTAACCCTCTATTCTGATTCCTATAAAAATCCTAGGAACACTGCAAACGTACTGCTTCCAAGTCTCCTAAATGGACTTTTGTCCTCTCACACAATATGCTCCTCAGCATGATGGATCTTCTCTGTCTTAAAAAATAAATAAGTAATCAATGTAAAGGACTACTGGAGCATAAGCACTATTGTTAGTTCCCAACCAGAGATCCCTTAAGATGGTGGAATCTACCAGGCAAGGTCTACCCTACACATACACACCCTCAGACAGATTACATCACAGCGAAGTCAGACCAGAGAAACCACAGGAAACACAAGATACTTCTCATTTCTAACACCAACTCCCCCAAGTCACTCAGAGGCAGCCAACCCAGAGACCACTGGCTCCTGTGGTTATCTGGGTTAAATAACAGCACGATGCTCCTTCTCCAGCTCTAACCAACAGAATTAACAGTGATACCCTCCCCACAAGACATGATCTGCAAAGCTAACAAAACAAGCATACAAGGACAATATGGAGCAGGAATACACAATTTATGGATACTGCCACACCTTCTGAGCAGACTGTTCCCTGAGCAAGAATGAACCGGAGCTAAGAGTGTAAGATACCCAACCTCACCAACCACTAAGCAGGCATTTACCTTTCTGAATGTTTGATACCAAGTTGGGGGGGGGGGGGGTGATCAGAGAAAACAGAAGGACCTTAGGTACAGCTCCTAACTATATGATTTACCATGACTAGAATTACATCCCAAACCAGAAATCCCACTCCAGCAAAACAGTAAGTCAGACAGATGCTTCTTGAGATACATCTATTCAACTCAGCAGAGCAGCAATATTCCCTATCTCTTACATCAGTACTGGAAAGGAGGTTCACCATGATACACGGGCACCGGACAGCCCATCACCACAAGGAAAGCAGTTTCCCAAGTAGGATCATAGCCTCTCTATGACCATGCCAAAGTCCTACCTGCAAGTCTGATGGAGAGAGGGGTTACCTGATGCCGGCGGGTGAGGGTGCCGTTGGCCATGAGTGGGTTGGCATCTTGTGGTGAGACCCGGACGCGTTCCAGTTGCGCCGAGACGTGGCGCCGTTCCTCCTCCAGCGCCCGGGTCAGCTTCTCAAACTGGGCCTCTTGTTCCTTCACAGAGGCCAAGATGCTGGCGGTCGACTCCACCTCTGAGTCGTCCATGAAGGTAAGGGGCGGAGCCGCCGCAGGGCAGGGTAAAAAGGAAGGTGTGGATCACAGAGGGAGGAGCAAAGAGGGAGAAGGCCCCCCTCACTTCACACTACTGAGAGAAGGTAAGGGAGAGGAGAAAAAAGGTCACAGGTCAGAGAAGACAGATGAATCATTAATCCCAGAGCCAAAGATGCCCTCTTGTGGTTTTACCGCAAGGCAGAAAGCCAACCACCACCAAGCCTAGGAGCCCATCACCACTGTCCGCTCAAGCAGGATCCTTTGCCCACTACCCTTTAACACCTCAACAGAAATAACCACCGCATGGAAAGGTGCAACTAGATCCAAGTCTACACTGTTGGCAGGAGAGGGAGAATATGGCTAAGTACTATAGTCATAGTCATAACAGGAGATTAGTATTAGATTATTTTTCCCTGGAAAAATTTGCTGGCATTAAGTCAGTGAAAGTTGTAACTCCACAGCACACACCAGCACTCACTGGCCCGCAGAGGCGAGCCACTTCTAGAATTAAGGGAACAGTACAGACCTACAGTTCTTACCTCCCCACATCTGAACACTGAAATTGCCTCAGGGGTGGCAAAGTTTACTAAATGAATATGCAGGTTAAAATGCCAATCAATCAAGAAACATAAATCGTGGGGTGCCTGGGTGGCTCAGTGGGTTAAAGCCTCTGCCTTCGGCTCAGGTCATGATCCCAGGGTCCTGGGATTGAGCCCCCGCATCGGGCTCTCTGCTCAGCGGGGAGCCTGCTTCCCTTCCTCTCTCTGCCTACCTGTGATCTGTCAAATGAATAAATAAAATCTTAAAAAAAAAAAAAAAGAAAGAAACATAAATGGTAAAAAAAACTTCCTACCGTCAAATGCAGGCAACAAAATGAAGGCCCTCATTTTGAATACATTTATGAAGGAGTCTTTCTACTTTTCAAAACCATACTATAATGCTGAAGGCAAACCATGGGCCTTGGCTCAAGGAGACAAGAGAGCAAGCAGTAAAACCACAAAAAATTCTGTATGTAAAAAGGCTCCACTTGCAGCGACCTTCACCTCTTCGGGAAGTAGGAAAATGAACACTGGGCTCGAACTCTGAAATTGCCCCTTGAAATAGTTCACATTCTAACCTTCAGTCAATGTCTGGGAACTTCCTATATCCCTGTTATCCTGCAGAAAGCTCTAAATAAACCAACTGCATTTTTATATCTTTACCTATTCCAACTCGGGTTAGACACCCAAGTAGCTAAAGGATTTGTGTTCTATTTATACAATAAATGATTGTTGTATAAAAAGGAAGAGTTCCCCACACCCTACTGCATTAACTGCAAGTCGGCCAGTAAATGGAGGGGCCCTGTAGACACACCATTGGACTCAATAGGGTTTCTCGCTTACAAACTGGCTACAGGAGACTTTATGGCCAATCCAACATATACCATGTCAAGAGGTTTTAAAATACACTTTCTTCCCCTATTCCCCACCCTCTTCTCAACCCCTTAAAGAAAAAGAGGTACTTAAAAAATTTATTCTTAATAAACATATTTCCATACACACCTGTTAAGACAAGGTCGTAACTGACTGGTTTTAACAGAGTACAGCCCAGTCTAGATTCAAAAAATCATGGGAGAAGCATCCCAGCCACCACAGCAAGGAGGAAGCAGGAAGGAGAGAGCTGCAGAAATATTTGGAGGAAAAATGAGATTGAGAGGAAAATAAAATATACCCAAAACATTAAAAAATAAGAGGAAGGGGCAGGTATTGGGAGAAAGACAATCTGGGAATGGAAGGGAGTCATAGGACTTGCAATTGCTTAATGTAACAAATGCCCTTGGGACTTTGTTCTGTCTTCAGATACCAGGACCCTGATGTAGTTTTTATTAAAACCTGGATTCTACTGTCATGGAGTACTTCTGTACAGAATAGGTTATAATATAGATAAAAATTCACTTATCCCCTATTCCCAGCAATCAAAGTGGGGGAGGGGAATTTCTGATGTTGGAATGCCCTTCCCCCTTCTTCCCACCTCTAAGGCAGAAACCTCAAAGCCCAGTCCCAGCATGCCCACAAAGACATTGAGAAACCAATGCAATAGTGGGGAAGACATGTGGGGACTAGCCTAGACTGAGCCTTTTGCTTCAGTTCCCTTTCCCACGCTACCCAGGGCCCCTACCAAACACAAGCACTGGGGCCTGTTTGCTCTAGAGTATATGCAGCATTCTGCAAGCAGGAGTACCCAGAAGAACAGATAGACAGGTGTCCAATAAACTCCCTAATTAATCCTCTACCATTAAGACATCTTCCAGGGACCCAGCACCGAAATCCAAGAATGTGGCAGCCCCCTCTAAATTTCTCTGTCTTTGGCTCTGGGTTCCTGCAATCACTTATCAACTACTGTTCTTCCTTCCGGTCTGTTGCTGAGTTTTCCTATTCCCACCCTACATCCCAACAGGCCACTCAAACGTCTTTAATAAGTATCCTCATTAAAAAAAAAAAAACTTTTTTAAATGCTGCTCCCTCATCTCTATTGCTTCATTTTAAGCACTGAACATATCCGGTCTGTACGATGACCTACGAACCTTCATACCGGGAGGACTCTAAAGCGCAAGAGAGATCTTCCAGTTCTAGATTTCAACAGGGCCTGAACTGCAGTTACCACTCTGGCAGCCTCCACCCTGTAATCTTCTTTGCTAATAAATACCCAAACTACCACTATCACGGGGCATACAGTAACAACACTTCCTGCTGCAGAGAAATTGTCATTGTGTGGTAAACAGCTACTTTTTACCCCTACAACTTTCAATAAAGGGAGTTAAGAAAGGATAGTCGGAAAACTACCCAGGGCTCTAAATCAGGATGCAGGATCTTTTCGCATCCTTCACGGCTTTAAGGACTGAGCACCAGGCTCTAATCTGCAGAAGACGACGACACAGCTAAGCAGCAAGAAAGGATCAGATTCCTAGACCTGACAGCACGGTGAGATTTTCTGCCTGAAAGGGGGCAGAGGCAGAGGCTATGTAGGATAGGACGCAGAAGACTGGTCCCAGTCCTGGCGCTGCCACTAGCCAACAGTGGCAGGAAGTCAATGCCATGTTCTCATCTGAGAGATGCCAGCATCACCAGCCCAATTCAACTGAGAGCTGCTAAGAGGATCAGGTGAGATAACGCAGGTCATACAAATGTGAGGTCTGAAGTTGCTTCAAGAGTTAGTTTCTATCTCCCAATTACATTACTTAATGGTAACGCCTCAGCCCAAAACTATTTTGTGAACTAGTAGATGAGACTAACCGGATCAAAAGCATAACTGGGTTCTAAGGAGTGGATGAGCTGGTTCCCCTGCTCCAACTCTATTTACTAGGAGGTCCCACCTAGACCAGTGTTTCCAGGACACAGGGTGCAGGATTACACACCCGCTATAATAAGTTCTTGACCCCTTATTGGAGGCCTTAGCAGTTTTTGACCACAGAGAAAGGGAAGGTGAAAAGAACTAACAATTACTGAGTGTTTTACATTTATTATGGTAGTAATACAATGCTAAAGAAGGAAGTTTTACTGCAAATGAGAAAATGGGCTCTAGGTGAAGAAATTACCCAAGGTCTTGGTTAATAGCAAATTCTGAATTTAAACTCAAGTATATTCCATTCCAAAGCCTGTGTTCTCTTTCTACTACATGCTGTCAAGCCTAGAAAGTACAAGCCCCGTAAAGATGTACAGTCCAGCCCTTCCCCCCCATAGTCCTTGCACTTTCTGCCAAAACATCACAAGAAATAAGTGGGGGAGGGGATTTCCATTTTTCCTTACATTAAAGGGTTACTCATAATATCTACATAGAGGATATAAGTGGGAGAAGGGACACAAATGGGAGGAAAAAGAGAGCGGAAGTGGGGGACTTCCCACTGTGGGGGGGACAGCCCACCTCACAACTCAGACTTGAAGAGTCTTCATCAGTGCCATACACATAAAAAAAATTGTGCTTTAAACCAGAATCTGCAAACCACTAATGGACTTTGGCAATTAGAGTCAAGAAAGTCACGGGAGTCCAGGCCAACACCTTTCTTAATATTTTCAAATGCATTACACTGGCTCTCACTACAAAAAGATGGTCAAGGAATTCTCCAAATGAGGAGAGAAAGACCACACATAAAGTGCGCCCTGCCATTCCCCTAAGAGTAGACCTTCCCCTAAGACTATGACTGGTTTTACTTGTAACAAGCCATAGGTGCTATAGACCTTGAATCTACAGCCAAGTCTCCAGCATTCGGGTGATGACAATAGTAAAAATTCAGTCTCTTCCGTAAGAAACCCAAACCAAAAGTTAAATTGGATCAAATACCCAGAAGGACCAAAGAGATGATGCCAACCAGTAGCTGGGTAAAAAGTATCAACAATAACACAGCCCCTGGAATGGCCTATCCTACTGTCATGTGGCTATAGGAATGTAACTTAAGATTCTCAGTTAAGAATACAGGCTTTGGCATCTGCCTGGGTTCAAATCCCAGTTCCACTGCTTCTTAGCTATAGAACTTTGGGCAAAATACCACTTAAGCTCTAAACCTCAGGTTCCTTTTCTGTAAAATGGGGGAAATAAAATACACGTAAGAGTAACTGCAAGAAGTATGTGAGACAATCCACATAAAGTGCTTAGAAAATGTTTTGACACACAGCAAGCTATTAATATGGTTACTGATAAAACACTACCACAAATAGCTAACACAAGGGGCCAGAGTTTGGTGGTGTTAATAGGACTTTTGAATAAGCCACATATATCTCCACATGCTCCCCTCTCCGCTTTTATAAGAAGCCCAGTAAACTACAGGAATTCTCCACACTCTCAAAGGGAAAGACAAAATAAAATTCCAGACTAGGGGTCAAAAGACCTGGGGTTCAAGTTCTGGCTCTGCCTGAAAGTAGCTGTGAGAACTAACTCAAAGGGTAAGTTATAACCCCTGTAATCTTCACTTTCATTACTTGTCAGGGTTTAGCTTTAATGGGCTAATATATGTAAAAGTATAGGCTGGGTGACTGAACTTCTCCTACATCCTTGCTATTCCGATAAGTATATCTGAAGACATTGGTGCCTGGGTGGTTCAGTTGGTTGAGTGACTGCCTTCAGCTCAGGTCATGATCCTGCAGTCCCAGGATCAAGTCCCGCATCCAGCTCCCTGCTCAGCAGGGGGTCTGCTTCTCCCTCTGACCTTTCTTTCCCCTTTCAGGCTCGCTAGCTCTCATTCTCTCTCTCTCTCAAATAAATAAATAAAATCTTAAAAAAAAAAAAAAAGTATATCCAAAGACATGACCAGAATTAGGCAAGCTACCCCTTATGGAAAGAAGAGAAAGTATCTGCCCTCAGATGGAGAACTCTAAACCCCCTCAGAATAGTCTTAGAGTTTCTTCGGAAAGAAATTTTATCTTCTGCAGCCAATCCCAAAACCAGTCGTCCTCTTTCCTTCCTTTTTATTATGAAATCAAAACCAATGTCACAAAGTGATACCTTCCCCCAAAAGCAAGGATAAGCAAAATTCTATGTCATCCTAGTGATTTCAAATGACTGTTTTAAAAAGCACACTGAGCCTCACACTGAAGAATACCAATCAATAAAATATAGCACCTGTAACACCACAGAGCTATACTATGTAAGGCTCAAGCCAACAAAGGTTCGTCTTCTAGATCCCTAAAAAGTATCTGTTTGCCTAAAACCACATGTGCTCCAAAATTCAAAGCAATTATTCCTGTTCAACCATATGCACAGAAAACTGCCATTTTATTTTTAAATTAAAGGGATATATTTAGTAGTATTTTCTTTTCTGGCTTCTTATCACCAAGAGTGCATATACAGGTCCAAGGTCTAAGTGCCCCACCTACCACCTGATGTTCCACCATCTCAAGCTCCGTGAGAACAATTCCAGTGTTCCCTGCCTTTGTTGGCAGACTTAACTGCCACACTAAGCCCAAGTCCCTGGACGTGATCTGCAGGAAGACCTAAAGAGTACTCCGCCCACTTCATGATCTCAACTGACCACTTCTCAGAGTTACAAAACTGGTATGATGGAAATGGCCCTTTCTTAGGTGTTAGCAGTTTCTGAGCTTTGCTGTGAATGGGCCTGATGCAAGGTCCAGCTTCGCCACCTAAAAGCACCCAAAAGACAGACTGGGGACTTTCATTTTCACAGGGAAAAACTAGATCTCAATGTGTCCACCATGAACCTCTCTGACGAATTAAGAAGTATGACAAATCACTGTCCTCTTTGGGAAGAGTGATACTTCTGATTGGAGATCCAGAGCAAAGAAGGAAAATAAATATCTTGAAAGTTTTGTTCTTTTTTTAAGATATTGTTAAAAGGAGGTTGAGTTGGACATCTCCACAGATCAACAGGACACCTTAAACTCACCTCAGTCTTATCATCCTGACCCAAATTTACATATCAGAATTTAGTTTTTACTGTGACTGTGACTTTAAAAGAAAAAAAAAAAAATCAACTCCATCATCTTGACCCTAAATTCGGAAACCAGATGGAACATTATCCTTGTTCTCTTTTCCTCTACCTTGAATTCTGGGAACCCCCAAACCATAACATACTAAATGGCTGAATGCTGGACTGGCTTTGAAGCAAAGGAAGGGTGTGGCTCTCAGCTAGTGAGGGGCCCAGTCTGAAAGGGTATGGAAAGAAACAAAAC